CTCTTCCTTCCCACCAGAGCTCTCCTGCACCTGTGCTTTCCCTTGGGGAACTCACATGTGCATGTCCTTCTTTTATTTTCTCAGTAAAATCTACATCTCTTGCAAAAATAAATGGAGAACACATACACACACACACACATACACACACACAACCTTAACATAAAATTCCTTTGTGCTTATATATTTAAAAGTACATGTAAAAGTAGAACTGAAGGTAATCAGAAAAGGTTTCTTAAAATAATTCTTTTATTATTTTTATTATTATTAAAAAGAAAACTTCTCTCTGAATCTTCTGCACTATGGGTGGGAGGTTCAGTGATACTTGTGGGCCAGAGCGCTGGCCACTCCAGCCACCATTTTCTGCCAGGAAGCCTGCATCTCGGGGGTGAATTCCTTGCCAAAATGTTTTGCCATAATAATCACAAGCATGTTTCCCAGGAGCTGTGAAGTGGAAAGAGACAATAGATAATAAGCACAGTGAACAGAGAGATCTAGACTGGTTTCCTGTTATCTAAACACCCAGTTCTCACTCAGAACTAAGCATATGTCAATTTCCCTCAAAGCCTGAGGTGAAGCCCAGGTACCCAAACTACACAGGTAGTTCATTCTCTTTGTGGAACTAATTGGGCTTTAAATATTTAAATTCAAATGTGTGTATCATGATTTGAAATTTTATATCTTACCACCCAAAACCTCACATTTTGTGGACTTAAAAAAAAACAAACACGGTTATCAGTTATCTTTCCAAACCCAATGCAGTCCAAATGTCCCAGTTATTTGTCTGTCTGAGACACATAACCCCTCTTCTGGAGTTGTAAGTTGAGCATTAGAAACACTTCACACAAATGTCCAACCAATATGGGAATTGCCTTAGCAATGCTTGGCCTAGGTTTCTTCCTTTTACTGAGTCAACATGAGAATATCCTCTCTATAGCCATTCTTTTCTTGCTTTCAGCAGGGTTTTAAGATGAATTAAAAAGAGGGAAAAAGAATTTTCTTGTAGAAAAGGGTTCATCCTATAAGAGTTTCATTTTAAAAACTGATATTCTCCATCTTTACATAGCTATCCTCTCAAAGCCAACAGAGTGTATTCTAGACTTCTAGACGCACCCCTTAGGCCCAAGTACCACTTGGTCTCAGCTGAGTTAGTCCTCTGCAGTTGCTTTACTCCCAAATTCAATATCTCAGAAGATGTCACACTCTACAGGTAGCTTCACTAATGTTCAGATCAAATGCTTAATTATCTAAGCTTTCCCAAGGCTGAAAGCAAAAGGAGTTGAGTATCTCCTGAACTCACCCTGAAGTTCTCAGGATCCACATGCAGCCTTTCGCAGTGCAGCTCACTCAGCTGGGAAAAGGCACCCTTGAGGTCATCCATGTCCCTTAAAGCATTTCCCAAAGAAGTCAGAACCTTCTTGCCATGGGCCTTGACCTTGGGGTTACCCATGATGGCAGAGGCAGAGGACAGGTTTCCAAAGCTGTCAAAGAACCTCTGGGTCCAGGGATAGACAACTAGGAGCCTATGAGATAGATCAATGATAATTGGAAAGTCATGGTGTCTCACAAATCCCAAGAATATGCCTAGATTTCTGCTAGTTGCAGTTTCCTTCCTACCCTCCCTTGTCCTGGCCCCCAGATCCTACCTTCCCAAAGTTTCTCCTCCAGCTTCTTCCACATTCACTTTTCTCCACATGCTTGTGATAGCAGCCTTATCCTCAGCTGTGAAATGAACCATGGTGTCTGGTCTAGGAGCTTATCGATAATCTCAGATGCTTCAGAAGCAACTGAAGACTACTAGAAGGCACGTCCTTTTATTCTTCATCCCCCACGCTGTGGCCCCTTGACTCACCACATATCCTGAGGCTATTGGTCAATAACAAAGGCTATTGGTCAAAGGCAAGGCTGGTCACACAGGGGGTGTGGTTTGAGCAGGGCAGGGTTCAGACAACCATGTTAAGATAGTGCTAGGGAGGCCCCCTCAAAGGAATTTCACTGCTAACATTTTTTTAGGGTCTTTCTGCTGTTTCAAGTCAATTGTTTCAATTTTCCTTTTTATTCTTTAGCTAGTTTTCCTTCTCTTGTCAGAGAATGTTCTGGGTCTTCCTTTCCAGCCTTTTTTATGTTTTTGTCTCTAGTTTCAGAGAAGCCTAGAGGTTAAAGTATAGACACCAATGTAAAAAATTCAGTTATTAGGAGATTCTTATTTTAGCACAATGTTTAGTATCTCCGATGGAGCAAATATAAATGTCATACAGGTAGGAATGGTTTCCAAGGGAAAAGTGCTATATTGATCTTTGAATACATTCTTTATGGGTTTAGGCCACTGTCTCCCTAGTTCACAATTGTTCTAGGGAAATGATTTCTGTAAAGCATCAGTTTTAGTGCAGAAATACATTAGTGTTGTGTAACACAACATGGGACTGAACCCTAGCTTCAGTCTAAAATAAATAAAGCATGTCTACTTTGAGCAAACATTTTTGATTCCCTGTCAATGCATTGTGTAGTTACCAGGTAATATGCATTCCCACTGGATAAGCGGGTGCTGGCTGTTGAGCCAGGGTCTGGGGGTAGCTTTTCTATGCTCAGTGAAGAGTGGTGGGAGGTCTCCTGGTAGGTATTATGACCTTGCATGATTTATCTTTCAAATAGTGTCAGCCAGTTTTATTCTAAGACATAGTACTAGGAATCACCTCCTTTGCCTTCTCTAAGTGTTTGCAAAACAACTATAGAGTCAGAGTTGGTTTGGGGGTTTTTGTTTTGTTTTGTTACATTGACTAACAGTCCACATATACTCTCACAACTGGGACAAAAACTACATTTTTTAAAAAAATTTGCCTTTTTTTTTTTTTTGCAGACCTGCAGATCAAATGTAACTATAGATACTTTTTAAATCCTCCTGTTAACACATTATAGTTATACATAATAATTGGGTTCATTTTGACATAATCATACATGCATGGAGTTTAACTTGTTCTATTTCAGTTTCCAGTGCCTCCTCTTTCCTTCTCCTCAATCCCCCAATTCCCCTACCTCTACACTTTTGATCTTCCTTTTATTTATATATATATATATATATATATATATATATATACTATTTTTTTAAATTTTTTTAATATATGAACTCTTTATTAAATTGATACTTTATAGATATATATGAAAGTACAATTTACTGTGATACATTTATTCATGTATATTTTGTAATTTTGTTCTGTTTAGAGGCCTATTGAAAGGCAACAGAGCTCAGAAAGACCCAGGCTCTTATCACCTGAAACTACAATGTTTATTGGTCTCTCATTCCTGAAGTAATAAAGTCAAATTAAAAATTAATTTACAGGACAAATCCTAATCAGGCAACGAAATTCCTGGTAGTTATATTTGCCAAGGTTTGGCATGCAACTGGTATAGTGTACTCGTTTCAATCCTTGATATGAGAGTTTGGCTCAGGACTTGAAGGTAAAGACTCTGAGCAATATAGCACTCTTTCAGAGTGATTCATTTGCTAATGCAGCATCCCAGATGAGGGGTGGGTGGTCCTCAGTGAGTGCCTGGCCTCAGACTGTTCAATTCACTCAAGATTGGACTTTGGGTTATCTGCCACTTCCTTTTCATCCACTCCAACTAATCTAGTACCATTGCTTCCTCACTCTACTTTTGTCCATTTTTCATGTTTGCAGATTCACCTGCTCTGTTATGTCCTCTGAGTCATCATTCATGTCTAGTGTCTATAAATTTGACCAAAAGACTTGCTTCCCACAATATCCCTTCACTGAACTGAATGCTGCACCTCACAAGGAGGCCCTCCTTCTCTTCAGGTCTCAAACTGCTTTGAGAAAGATTCTTACAACCTCACTTGCATGGTTTTTGCATGTATAAGCATATTACTTTGCCCTAAAAATCTTATCTCTTCAGTCACTTAACATTCTAAGAATATTCATTGTTTACTATTTTACTATTGCCAATAACATGATAATAGCTTATATAGCTTTTTCTTTTCTTTCTTTCTTTATTTGGTACTGGGGATTGAACCCCCAGGGGCACTTTACTACTGAAAGTTATATCTCAGACCTTTCTTTTTTTTTTAATTTTTTTTTTTAATTTTGAGACAGGGCCTTGATAAGTTACTGAGAGCCTCAATAAGTTGCTGAGGTCTGCCTTTAACTTGTGATCTTCCTCTCTCAGCTTCCAGAGTTCCTGGGATTACAGGTGTGCACCACCAGGTGCAGCAATAGCTTGTATTTTTATAGTCAAGTTCTTGCACTATTGGGTCTTTGCTGATACTCTCCTTTCAAAGAGGCAGTTTCATGCAAGTCACCAATCCCTGACTTGTTGGTTTTAGACCATGAGCCTTGAAGTATTCATGTAGATTTCTCCTACATAAAGTTTTCATCTCCTCATCCCCCAATGTCCCCACATATATAGTAATTTTAACTTCATTTTAGTGTGCTATATTCTATCAGAATATAATGTACAATTATTTCATGTGTCTTAGCCACGGTGCTCCATTAGGATAAAAAAGAGCAAGCTATTGTTGAATCATGGGAACTTATTCTAGAAAGTGCTCAGTCATCACTCAATTCAACCCCATACCTCTAAAACAGTTTCATATCACATTTGACAATTTAGCTGCTCAAGGTGGATATTAGAATAAATTAAAATAGTTATCCTATCCTAGACCTCAGATCCCAGAAGACTTTATTATTATTGTTGATGTTAATGAAATTTGGCTTGTACTACAAATCTGCTTTCTTGGGTATCATTTACCACTTCCTTTTTCCCCTCTATAGCAAGTTTTTGCCACCCTATCCCACAAGTCCCTGCTGACTTAACTCACCATTTCCCCATACCCATAGAAATTCTTCCCCATCTTAGTGTCCTTGATCTTTTAATAATATATGCTTGACTTTATGTGTCTCTATACACTTCTCAAAGAAACTCTCGTTTCTTCCTATGTCTCTTCCTACTTCTCAGTACAAAAGAGTAAAAAATGGAGAAGACAAAACTTTTCAATTTTGAATTACTGAAGAAATGTTTTATTAAGCAGAAGCTATGCTTTCAAGGCTGAGCTCAGTCCCCATGTACAGAAGGAGGGTACTGGGGACACACGGGAGCACTGGTGAATAGGGAGGCGGGTTTAGTGGTACTTGTGGCCCAGAGCATTGGCAACACCAGACACCAGCTTCTGCCAGGCAGCCTGCATTTCAGGGGTGAACTCCTTGCCAAAGTGAGCAGACAGAACAATCACCAGCACGTTACCCAGGAGCTGTTAGATGAAAAAAAGAATGACACATAGGCAGGTTGAGTAGGAGTTTCCAAAGAGAATTTGTAGGAGAAAAATTACCTTTATACCTCTATTTCTTCACAGTGACAACCTCAGCTAAGCTTAGGTTTAAGTTAATCTGTCCTCCCAATGCAACATTCTACCTCCTTATATCCTCACCCTTTCTTTCCATTTAATCATTTTTATTTCCTTCCTTCTTTTTTTCTTCATTCACCCAAATTCTGTAAACACGATTTTAGTGCTACGAGAATTCTCAGTGGCAATTTAGAATCTCCCATCAACTAAGGAATAAGTCTTTACTTGATCACAATACTTAATGGGAATTGGATATATTTTAGAGAATTTTTCATATTTTCTTTGAGAAAATCTGTCCTTAAAACTTTCCCCAAGATCTTTTCCTAAACTTCAATCATTAAGATCCACACTGAAACAGCAATTCTGTTTCCTTGGGAAAAACCCTTGGCCTATATATTAAAAAAAAATCCATTTCTCCTTGCACAAATCTATTATTGTCTAACATTATTCTCCAGAGAAAACACATCCAGTTCTGACAGAATTTTCTGAGTAGTTTTAAGAATATTTAGGCTTCTAAATGACCTCAACTGTCAATAGTTTTGAATCAGATTTGTCTTAATTATGCCCTTGAGATATCTGTGTTTCTACTGCCAAGCTGGGCGGATGATTTTTGAGGTCTTGGCTAATATTTCCAATCAAAATCTCAGCTCCTATTATTGGCCCCAAGTCAAAGCTATAAAGAAAGCATGAGCATCTTTAACTCACCTTAAAGTTCTCAGGATCAACATGCAGCTTGTCACAGTGCAGCTCACTCAGCTTAGCAAAGGTACCCTTGAGGTTGTCTAGGTTCTTAATGGCCTCTCCAAAGGAAGTCAGCACCTTCTTGCCATGGGCCTTGACCCTGGGGTTACCCATGATGGCAGAGGGAGAGGACATGTTGCCAAAGCTGTCAAAGAATCTCTGGGTCCAAGGGTAGACAACAAGGACCCTGCAATATGAGATAATAACAGATTCAAAATTAGAGACATTCCTCATTCATGTGCCAGAGTCATGTTCACCCTTCTCTCCCATTCATCATGATCCATTGCTTACCTGCCCAAGGCTTCACCTCCGGTCTCTTCCACATTCAATTTGCCCCACAGGCTAGAGATAAGGTTCTTCTCCTCAGCAGTTAGATGCACCATGATGTCAGGTCTGGGAGTTTGCTGGTGATTACCGAAGTGTCAGAAGCAAGTATGTTCTGCGGCTAGGAGTCACGTCTTTTATTCTTCACTGCTGAAACACGGGCCCCTTGTTCTCTGCAGTTCCTTGAAGTCATTGGTCAAGGTTGAGCTGTGGCCCTCATGGGCGGAGCCAGAACAGGAGAGGGACAGCCCTGAAGAATCCACTGTGAGTTTGTGACCATGCATGCTGGATCCTCAGATATCTTTACTGGTTTTTTTTTTTTTCTTCTCATCCAACCACAGCATGGTTTTTAACTTATTTCTTATCCTTGGATTCTTTTCTCCACATGTAATCTTCCAGGATAATACCCATCTTTTTCATCTCTTATCTGCTTTTTCCAAGAAAGACCCACTGAGAGGAACTAAGCCCAAGATGGAAAAAATAAGTTTCAGTTAAAAGAAAAAAGTTTAATATTTAGTTTAAGAATGTTGACAGGGCTGGGGATGTGGCTCAAGTGGTAATGTGCTTGCCTGACATGCGTGGAGCGCTGATTTAGATCCTCAATACCACATAAAAAAAAAATAAAGATGTTGTGTTCACCAAAAACTGAAAAATAAATACTAAAAAAATTTCTCTCTCTCTCTCTCTCTCTCTCTCTCTCTCTCTCTCTCTCTCTCTCTCTCTAAAAAAAAAAAAAAAAAAAAAAAAAAAAGAATGTTAACAGTGATCAACAATGAAGTCAAGGGGGAAGAAAGTTAAAACACATGTAACTCTTACTCTGTTGAGAAGTTATTGCAACTGATATTTCTGGATCTTAGTTTTCACCAGAGAGAAGAAACATACCAGGTTACTTCTGGATGCTGAACACAGTATCAAAGAACCCACAGTGGGGCCACTGCCCCAGTTCCAAAGTACATTGGGTGGCTTCCCGGAGAGGATGGACAGAACAAGATCATACTCTGTGCTTTTAGAGAATCCTCAGTCTTTCCATCTCTATGACCTCAGGAGAAATTTGTTGCTTTGGTTATTTTCCCTGGGCTCTCTTCTTGCTTGTCTTTCCCACCTATACTGGGACTGTAGAGGGGACTGAAATAATTTAGAACCAGGTTTTGTGATCAGTCTGAGGAACAAGTGAATTGATCATAGTTGGGATATATTGTGTTTGCTGTAGCCTTCAAATTCCTCTAGTGCCCTTGTTTCTGATGACCCCATTGTGATAACTGGGTAGCTTTTTACACATTGGAGCTGAAATTGAAAGCACACATTTATATGTATTCAATTTCATCCATATATATAAAGAAGATTTATATTATGTATGTAATACAAACGCTCCTAGGACATAAGCATATTTCCACTTCATCTGCACTAGTAATAATTGTCATTATGCACATTTTTTTTATGGAGGAACAAGGTCTCAGAAGTGAAGTAAATGTTGAAATGACAGAGCTAATGGTTGAGGGAACAAAGGAAGCAGAGTTGAAAAATTCCAGAAAACTTTTTGCTTCTTATCATAATCTAGTTTTCCCTGCCCATTTCTTGCTTCTAGGTAGTTCTTTATCTGCTTCTACCATTTTACTTCTCTAGTGCTCCTTTTTCCCAGAACTGAAAGATTCTTGATCTACAGGTCTATTTTTATTTATTTAGTAGAAATTTCTATTTATTTATTTGTTTGTTTGTTTGTTTGTTTTATTTCATTTTGGCACCCTAGGTGCTGCTGGTCCTTTTTCTTTTAGCAGTAAGGCTTCTGAGTCCCAAGTCTCCATATTCCAAGTTTATCTAGAGTTCTGTTCTGCTCTGCTGTACAACTCTGCATTGGTATTTATGATTGTTTTTTATGTATGTTATCATGAACACTCTTAGCACATGAGAATATTTTGCTTGCCTTATTGCTGTGATTCTAGAAGTTTTTATCTGCTTCAATTACACTCCACAAATTGGCATTATTCCAGGCTGCTGAATCTTTAGTGCACTTTCGTTTAGCTTTTAACTAAAATTAGCTTTTAACCAAACTTATCATTATGGGAATATATTCTAACCAATGGTCAATTTAGATATAGCCAGGAATTCCTAAAGTATGGACTAGTTTGACAGACCCATACATGCTAAGCAATGTATTTTAATGCATTAAGTATTATACATAGAATTTCCAAAGAAATAAATTATATTAAAATGTATTAAACCACTTGAAGCAAATGTATGAAAGATGATATGTCATGAGCTTTGTAATGTTTTGAACAACCAATAAAAAATGTATTAAAATTATATCAAGTATCAAAATATTCAATTTGTGTTTGGTACTATATTCTCATCTTGACACATACATTAGATTTAGTAGTGGGTCTATAACTACCATAATATTTAACTAGTGATACAGACTAATATTATTTAAAAATGTCTTCAACAACTGTATTATAACATGAAAATATCTGTGATTTCTATCTGTAAGTAGGCATCAGGTACTTTTATATTATACTAGTTTGTTTTCTCCATTCAAATAGTTAGTGAAATATGGTATATTCAGAAAGGTTGGTGAAAATAAAGATGAATTGGTATCCTCATAAATCTTTCTTAACTCATTAAGTGTTCTGTGGTTCCCAGGTTAAAACTTCCTGATATAGAATATGTAGCCCAGGAAGATAGAATTCTAGGTAAAGAGAGAAAATACTGAGTGTTGGAAGTAGAAAAACAGTGAATGATCAAGTAGCAGGTGGCCACTCTGGGAAGAGCAATGAATTCATGAAGACAAAGCTCTAGTTTCCAAGGCACATTTTCTATGGATCTACTGTGAAGAATTTGGGTATGAGGATCAGATACTGCCAAAGCCTATAGAAAAAGGACCAGGTCTCTCAAGTCTAGAATTTGGGAACATTTTTGGTCTCTTCCATCCTTCTTCCTGGTCACAGTGTGGATGCCAGTCTTCTGTGACATTCATAGTGTAGAATTTGGTTCTTCTCCTCCTCCCCCTCCTCTCTCAGACCCAATTTAAAATCCATATCTCTTTCACTACTTATGGCCTATGAAACCAGACCTCACTTCCATTCAGAGACTTGGCCTATCCCTTGTTCGGTTGTTGCCAAAAGCTTCCAGAGTGCAGGTTTAAAGGTAGTAGGTCTGTGCATCAGTGCGTGAAGGATGAATTCTGATTCCTAAGTCAGGCAGGCTGACAGCAGTTGCATTATTGCTTAGGTATTTGTGGATTCAACTGCTCCGTAATAAATATTGCATTTCTTTCTCCTATCACCCATGAATGAAGGATTATTGTCTTCCTTCTTTGGGATAAAAGTCAAAAGTTTGTAAAACTAAGTGACATGGCTATGCAGGACAAATGAGAAAGAATCAAAAGCCAGAAAACAAAATCAGTGGGAATGTTCAC